TAAAACATCAAGGTTACTGAAGGAACCAATAATACTAAGTGCTGATAGATTTGATGTATTTTGGTACTATAAAATAAAAAAAACAAAAACACCAGTTGGACAGAAGAGATAGGCATGTTGCTATCTTTCTCCATATCTTATTGACCTTTGGAGAAAAAATGAATACATTTTATAATTTTGAATACAATATCTATTAAAATAAGTGAGATTTGAAATTTGGCATGTTATTTTAAAACATATAACAATATAAATCTAAAGGAGCCAAAATTTAGATACTATTAATTTAGATCTAAATAACCTTTTTCAAAAGAAAACAAAAAAGTGGATGAAGACACCTCATTCATTTTTCTTCTAAGATTTATATATCCCAAATAGTTGGAATCTATCAAAACATCAAGAACTATGGAATTTTTTTGGGGGGGGGGGGCACATTAGGTATGACCAAAATGGCTATTATACAGTATTGGAAGGAAAAAATCTTCATCTTATTCATAGTAATAAATGCTGATAGATGCCATCTGATATTTTCTCCTTACTAATGAAGGATCAAGAAAGAGTTTTCAAACAACTAGACAATTTTGCCAGGATTTTGGAAATATTAAAGTTACATTGTTATGTCAACTGTCTTGCAATACTTTTTTTTTTAGTTTGATGCATAAAATATACTTTACACAAAAACAGAATCTACAGATTTGATACCTTCTCTCTAATTATATCTCATCTGATCAATACCATTTTATTATTTCATTTGTTTAATGCATTCTTTTTATATTCCATACAGAGAAAATAGCTGAAAAGTATATAACTATGGCTAAAAATAACAATAAAAATAAAGTTATTTACACATTGAGAAACAGAGAATTAATTCCAATTAATAGTTACTTATAGAATGACAAAAAGATAATTAACCTCAGTTCATTTAGATTTCAACACCACAGAATTTTATTAACGAGTATTAGATTGCATATCTGTCATTCTACTATTCTCCTACGTTTATCTCATTTTGTAATGCCTGATTAATGTTGTTTATATGCTAGATTAAGGTAAAATAATGAATGTGAATATATATGTTTTCTTAATAATGTTTGTGACTTTCAAATTTTAGTAAATATTGTGTCTATTATATTACCACATCTGATAGCTACAAATAAATATCTAATTATTCTTAAGCATAACACATAAGAAAATACTGGAATGCATTTGAATTTATGTACATGTTAATATTTTATAAGGCTATTTACCTTGTAGGGTAGAAACTTTATATATTATTTCCATTTAGAAAAGAAACAAAGAAAAGCCATAAAAATGATTGTTTCAATTGACTATGTTGGTAATATTTTTACTATTTGTTAAAAAAAACTAGGTGAGAATATATTTTCTAGAATTTTTTTCAAAGTTTCCCCTTTAATTTTTGAAATCTTAAATAATTTCAGGAAAATTAAGAAAACCATTTCACAAAATATTATGGACAATTTTGTAGTACCATTTTGTTTGGAACGTGGCTCAAGATCCCAAAACAAACACTCACTTGGAATTCCAGCAACAAAGTTTTATTTTAAAAGAAGCGTTTGCAAAGGCCTGGTGGACTGAAACACACACAGGAGTTCAGCCACACCTTAAAGAGCTGTTTGACACATTTTTATATCCTACCTCCGACGCAGATTCCCCCCTCCCCTATCGCACTCAATGCCCCTTTCCCTAATCATCCGATAAACTTTCCAGACCATCTAAAACCACTGTCCTTCCCATGTTCCAGGAAGCCCGTTCGTCCATATCCTATCTTTCACCATCGTTGGCACAGTTCGTCTCCTATAGTTATTTCAATATTTCCTCTGCTTGCAATTTCAGTTAGCTAGCAACTTCTGCTTTTCTTATTTGTCTGTAATTTACTTGTCTGATTTTATGACCTTCAGGTGACTTCTTCTATTGACCTTCATTAGAAATTTCTGAATAATACTTTATTCCTTTCAATTTGAAGTTACAAAAGAAGAATATATTGAATATATTTTCAGTTCTATGATTCTATGTTTGTAAAACATTTATCAATATATTTTTAATACTTGATAAACAAAGGTACATGTTGTTGTGTGAAGAGGGTTGTATCCCATTTGTAGCTGTTATGAATCTGATCCTGCAAATATATTAAGTCTATGCTGTATGCTGCAGAGAAGTTTAGAACTTCTAAAAGGCAGTGGAAAGAAGTAATTTTTCAAGTAATCATAATGGACACATGCTTCTAAATAATATATTAAGTAATCATTGCCTGTATTTTCATCAGATGGATTTTCTTAAATAATGTGTTGTAACTTTTTAAAATGTCAGTGTTCTACCAATAGTATTGTGCTTTTTAAAATAAAATAACATCCATTACCAGCTATAAGCTCAAAGGAGCAGGGGAAAAAGAACCTCCAGCAACATCTACCAACCTTCTCTGCAATAGAAGGCTTTTAATTTATCATCAATGTGCAATGTGCTAGGCAGGTCAGCAGGCTAATAGGTCTCTGCGCAAAAATGTTTTCATGAAAAGCTTATACTTAGTTGGGTTCAGTGAGGAAATCTTTTTTTTTCTCTACACTGAAGCCTGTGACCTTCACAAGAAAATACTCCACTATAAACCAGCTGCTATGATAAGAACATGAAGTCTCCAAAGACGATGGCAGTGCTTTCTGGGAGAGCAAACTGTTACCTTGTTCAGAATCCATTCAAAAGCTGACTGTACTGAGCAAAAAAAATAAACCAAGGCCATCATTATTCCTTTCTTTGTGCTTTGGCTCAGTCTTTAAAATGCTTATTCAACACTGAAAAATAGCAACATTGCCTCCATTAGCTGACTTCCTCCAACAGTTTAATCAAAGCAGATTTTAGCATTTAAAACTAAAATATAAGAATGTTGAATGTTTTCGGTTCTCTGAAAACTACTGCAAAAAAACCCAACAACAAATAAAATGTAAACCCACTGGAATTTAGCTATATTTCTAAGTAGTGATATACTGAATTGTATTATAAATGCAGGAGTTTTTAATCACAATATTTCACATGTATATAGCTTATATTAAAATGTGTATATTAATTCTATTGCTTATGCCTTACTTTTTTTCAATTTTCTTGTATCCCTCTGCCTGATCACATTTTATAAAATAAAGGAATAAATCTGGGTTATGAATTACACTAATATAGGATGAGGGCGAGAGAAAGGGATAAATGAACACACAAGCATACAATATGTTTGGATTGAAAAATTAAAAATCTTCTGATTCTAGTCACATATAGTATGTGTAATGTTTAATTTAGTTGTGGGGGTCTCCATCACTGGAGGTTTTAAAAAGAAATTGAACAGCCATTTGCCTAGAATGATATAAGGCCTCTGGCTTGAGCAGGGGAGTGGACTAGAACAGGGGTGTCAAACTGCCGGCCCACAGGCCAGATGCGTCATGCCAAAACCGCACCCTGGATGTTTTCATGCAATCCTTGGTTCCCCTACCCATCCACCCCAGCTATTTATTTTAAGTTTGCAAAGTTGTATACAACATAGCAGTAATATAACAATGTAATGCCAAAGATAAAATGATATAAAATATAACCACAGATAGATTATATAATAAAAGTTGTCTGCTAAAATTCAGTCAAATGAGAAAAGTTTATCTGTATAAAACAAATTGTGAAATTGAGTATCAATAGTAATTTTATTCATTGTTATTAATAAGACCAAGTGTCCAATACTTGCTAGTAGAAATGACCTCTGTCCAGGCCAAAAGCTCACTTGCCTTAAGTAGTCCAAAGCAAAGTCTACAGGAATAATATTTAATATTTCATAAGATATTGTGATAAAAGCAAAAAGTTCCATATTACCCGTATTCTGATATAAAACTCTGGGTAAAATACAGGGCACTGAGTTCATAGGTCACATCTCCCCCATCCCATCCCTTTACCTTAAAATAGCAAATTTTACTGATGGACAATCTTTCATGCATCCAAATATGGGTATTAAGGCATCATCAGAATTAAAACTTGCTCATATAAAATTATTTGTTACTGGAATACATGAGGCAGGAATATTCAGATCTTAGACATTTCATCTTTAGTCCTCCAAAGTCACACTAAAATATTTAAGACTATAATTATTGAATTTGATGCACCATGCCAAGTGCTTTTGTGGAATGAGGAATACAAGACAAAGAACATGGCAGAAGAAAAGTCTTGTTAAAAATTTCAAAGGAAGCCTGTTCACCCTATGGACTTCAAGTTTATTTCAGTTACTCCAAAAACAAAGTGTCCCATACATAAACTTTGATTTATTTCAGTATAATGAATAGTAGACTGAATTTCTGCAGGTCTGCTGGGGAAAAAAAGGGAAAGGAGAGATATATTTAAAAATCCTACTTCTTTTCCCAGGTACCTTCCCCCCCACACCTCTACCAATATAAATAGATTACATTCATACATATATTTTTTGTACAGATTATTAAACCTATCTTTACTTATATTATTATTTTTTAAGCCTGTTGACAAAGTTATAAGCACAGAGAGGAACATGATATATAGGCAACGATAGATTTCAGGTATGGGAAGGGTGAGAAAAAAGGTGTGGTGACAGTTTAACTATTTTGATACAAATTATGAGCAAAACCCCATCAATCAAAGTAGTGAAGCAGAATATACCATTATGCTTCAAAGCATCCGATTAGTTCTTTGAATTCTGAATAGAATACCAAAACAATCATAAAAAATCAATTTTATACACATTGCTTTCCTTTGCCTAAGAATCTTTTGCATTTGTGATCAGAGACAAGAACAATCTATTTCTATTGCTCTCTGTATGTCAACATAATGGATTTGATCACAAATAAGATCCACATACTAGTTTTTGCTTTCCAGACACTTTTCTTTTGACTCAGAAATAAAATATTCAAGAAGGCATGCTGTTAAAAGATGTTTCCGGTCCGCTCCAACAAAATTATTAAAACTCAGTTCCATAATCATGTATTTCAGATTGTACTTACATTCTTCGTCTTCCTCATACCACAGCATGTAAGCATCAGAAGTCCAAAGCAGATGCTCAAGGAAGACTTTCTTAGAATGCTATATCCAACATTCCAGGGCCATTTGAAACAACGAAACAGTGCTGGTTGTTGCAGAACGAAACTGCTACACCACCAGTCTCAGAATTATAAACAAAAATCTACTTGTCTCCTTAGTATTCCTTTACTGAATTCAACACCGAGGCAGCTTCCTCTCAGATACAGATCCAGCATAAGGAAAAACATGATTCTAACTTCAGCTAAGCTGACACTGTAAATGATGCCAGAGCTCTGTTGAGGCCCCAAGATATTTCAAATTCCAGGACCTGCGCAGAATCACTAGCACATGCTTCCTTCTAAACAAGTGGGTTTCCCATAATAGGGCAGCTGATGTGTTCTACATATAAGGCTCTGTTTTCAGAATGCCTTGCTTGATGGATTTAAGTGATTGTGTAGCAGCTCTCTAGATAGTATTCAAAGCAACTCTGAAGTGCACTCAGCACTGCTGTTCCTGTAATGTACGCAGCATGCTCTGTGGGACAGATTGTATTTAACTGGAAGATAACAAGTTTATGCATACATGGACTGAGAGGAAAAAAAACCCAGCAGTCCTACTCTGCTAATAATTATGAGTTTCAAATTATCAGTGTCTACTTTGCATTCATTTCTAATTTCATAGATGTGGCCATGTATTTTACTGTTCTTTACTGTTTCTTCTGCAGGTTTTATTTTTTGATTTCAGCTCCCATTACAAATCCCCCCAATAGCTGTATTCATACTTAGCAAACATAACAGTGTCAGAGCTAGAAGAGATTTCGGATCTAACATTATCATTTGCAAATTATTTCTTGCATAGAAAGACCCCCCTGAAAAATGAAAAGCAACTTAAGAAAATGAAAAAGCAAACAAACTAAAAAGTGCATAATTATTACTTACCTATCTACACACTGTGAATTCATGCACGTTGAACATATAACAACTGCCTCATATTGCTACTTGTATACCTGTAACTCTCTTTAGAAAGTAGTTGGCACTTGTGACATGTACTAGAATATTGGTATTAAACTGCCACCCCAAATCAACTCAAAATATTTAACACTATTACTATGACAATATGAGCAGAATTTGTGTTGAATAGATTTCAGACTTAGGAAATTCCTTTCTTTAACACTGTATCACATAAAAAGAAATAAAAGAAATACAGTTTTAAAAATAGTGTCCTTGTTTACACAAGAATAGAGAAATAAAATCCACTTTGTGGGTTACCATAGGGCTCTGCTTTCTCTGTAGTTCTGCTTAACATCTGCATGAACTACATGAATTCATTTGTCAAAATTAGATAAAATATGAGGTAAAGAATACTGATAATAATCACATATATATCTTTGAGCAAATGATGCTGCCAACGTACGGTTCCAATCTCTGGAGGCTCTACGGGTCTTGATAGGGAAGAATACAATCTGCAAGACTGAATGACTTCAGGACCCCTGTGATCCTGGAACTGGAGGTCTTCCATCATTAGCTGCGGGATGGGTTGCAATACCTTCCTCAAAGCTAATGTGCAACCTGGGGATCCACATGGCCTCAGAGTTCTTTCTCAACAAGCAGATAGCAGCTTTAGACAGGAAGTCCCAACAAAACTTAAATTGGAGTACCAATTCTACCCATTTCTAGATCAGGAGACTCTATTTATAATCACACATATCTAGTCACCTACTGTTGAATTACTGCAATATGCTGTATGGTTCAGAATCCAGCACCATGATATGATTTTAAACTTCTAAAATGTGCTACTACTGTGATGCTGTCCATAGAACTCTGAGAGTTGATGTCAATATAATGGATGACTTTCAGATTAGGAAAGGTTGGTGTAGCATAAGAAAATAAGGCCAGTTCCTCAGTCCTGGTTGTTACATCTTCAACTTGTTGAGAGATGGCATATAGATCAAAAATTGGGTTTAATGGTAGAAGAT